CGAGGACCTTGGCAGCCTCCAGCAGAAGTAAGGCGCTGCCCTGCTTGGAGTAGTCCTGGGGACCAAGGTGGCCACAGTGACCAGGATAATGATGAGGCCCAGAGGGGTGATGGGGACCAGGATGGCCACCAGTAGCAGGATGGCCCCAGGGACCAAGGTGGCCACCAGGACAGGATTGAGAGTGGCCATTGGGATGGGTGTCAGGGTGACTACCAGGACCAGGGTAGCCACCAGGACTAGAGTGCCAGTAGGGACCAGGATGGCCACCAGGACGGTGATCAGGGTTGCCCTCAAGGTGGCCACCATGACCAGGATAATGATGAGGACCAGGGAGGTGATGGGGTCCAGGGTGGTGATGGGGACCAGAGTGGTGGCAAGGACCAGGGTGACCCCTGGGACCAGCATGGGGACTGGGGTGTCCCCAGGGATCAGGCTGGCCACTGTGACAGAGACCAGGGCGGCCACCAGGACCAAGGTAGCCCTGGGCACCAGGCACTGGTGGGGACTAGGGTGGCCCTGGGAGCAGTGTGGTCGGTGGCAGGGGGTGCGGGGTGGGCACACGCACCGACACAGGGTGCCGGTGCCGGTGCTACGGGGCCGCGTCAACCCGGGGGGAGCCTGTCCGTGGGGCTGAGAATAAGGAGTAACGGCGCCTAACGAGTAACGGCGCTGAATGGGTAACGATGCCGAAGGAGTAACGGTGCCTCTCTGCTCGGGCAAAGGCTGCAGGACGAGGTGACCCTGCGGATGGAGGCTGAGAGCAACCTGGCTGCCTACAGGCAGGTGAGGGCAGGGGCCGGATCCTGCACCCCCCATCCTGCAGCAGTGGGGGAGCAGGGCTGGGCTCAGCCCCCAGCTCAGCTTCCCTTCAGGAATGGAGCCAGGATGGGCAGGGATGGGCAGGGATGCGGCAAAGGTGGGCAAGGACAGGGCGGGGATGGGCAGAAAGAGACAGGGATGGGCAGGGGCGGGCAGGGCCTGGCAGCTCAGCAGGGAGCACGGCCACATGGCCAGCCCTGGGGACGGTCCCTCCTGTCCCCCCACCGTGTCAGGACGTGGACGCCGCTGCCTTGGCTCGCCTGGACCTGGAGCGGCGAGTGGGGACCCTGCAGGACGAGATCGCCTTCCTCCGCAAGGTCCACGAGGAGGTAACCCCCGGACCTGACAGCCGCTCTGCGCGACATCCGCAGCCAGTACGAGGCCATGGCCGCCAGCAATGTCCAGGAGACGGAGGAGTGGTACAAGTCCAAGGTGTGGTGGGAGCCGGCCACCCAACAGTTTGGGCGCCTGGGTGTCC